CAACACAAAGTATCATTATCTTGTCAAATGTTATTCATGTTCTATCTGTTCTATCAGACACTTCTGTGTTCTGTGACCTTGGACAAGATACTGCCAGGGAGCTGTTTGGAGGGCAAATAAAACAGCACCTGTCAAAGTCTCTAGCCCATTGTCAGGGGTTTTGTGAGGACAAGATGAATGTTCTTTCATGCGCTTACAGTCTCCCTTCTCACTGTGGAGGGTTGCTACCGCCTTATGGCGGATTCTCACTGATTTGGGTTTGCTCAATTTGAAATTGGTGACTCTTGCCCTGGGCACAGAGTTTGTTTAGAATCTTGGAATCCTAGCAGTTTGAAGCTCCTGTTTTGTGTCCCTCAAAGAATGAAAAAATAAATTCTTCAAGTGTTTGTGGACTGGAGCTGTGTCTTAAGAATGAGGACACACAAGGTTCATCTGCCAGGGGTGGGGAACCTGCAGCTTTCTGATTTCAACATTGCTCTTTATTGAGCATCAAAGGGGGCAAGAAAAGCTTCAGCTTTCTCTGCTGCACCCCCTTTAATAAAAGAATTTGTTCTGTTAAATTTGGATTCAGCACGTAAGGACCTAGAAGGCCACATGCGGCCGAAGGGTGGCAGGTCCACGTTACCAACACAGAAGGCCTTTCCACCACTGCGGTGGCCGGTGCCCAGCTCTCGGCCAAATCCTTTCCCTGATCAGAAGAGTTCATCATCTCACAAGGGAACGCTGCTTCCAGCTTTTGGCAACAATTGCTGCTAGTTATTTGCCATGATCTGAATATTTGTGTCCCCTAAAATTCATATGTTGAAACCTAATCACCAATATGACAATATTAAGAGGTGGGACCTATAGGAGGTGATTAGGGCAGAGGGGCAGAGCCCTCATGGGAAGGATTTCTGCTCTTATAAAATAGGCCTGAGGGAGCTTGTTCGCCCCTTCCACAATGTGAAGATGCAGAAAGAAGGCAGCACCTTTGGGCCGGGTGCTGTGGCTCATGCCTGAAATCCTAGCACTCTGGGAGGCCAGGGCAGGTGGATCGTTTGAGCTCAGGAGTTCGAGACCAGCCTGAGCAAGAGCGAGACCCTGTCTCTACTAAAAATAGAAAGAAATTAGCTGAACAACTAAAAATATACAGAAAAAATTAGCCAGGCATGGTGGCGCATGCCTGTAGTCCCAGCTACTTGGAAGGCTGATGAAGTAGGATTGCTTGAGCCCAGGAGTTTGAGGTTGCTGTAAGCTAGGCTGATGCCACAGCACTCTAGACCAGGCAACAGAGTGAGACTCTGTCTCAAAAAATAAAAATAAAAAAGAAGGCAGGACCTTTGAAGCAGAGTGAGCCCTCACTAGACATCAAATCTGCTGGTGCATTGATCTTGGACTTTCCCAATTCTAGAACTGTGAGCAAAACATTTCTATTGTTTATAAATTCCTCAGCCTAGGCTAGAAGCAGTGGCTCAGGCCTAATCCCAGCACTTTGAAAGGCCAAGGTAGGAGGATCACTTGAGGCCAGGAGTTTGAGACCAGCCTAGGCAACACAGCCAGACTCTGTGTCTACAAAAAGCAGAAAGAAAAAACAATTAGCTAGGGGTGGTGGCATGCACCTGAAGCCCCAGCTACTCCAGAGGCTGAGGTGCATCATTTGAACCCAGGAGTTTGAAGTTATAAAGAGCTATGATGACACCACTGCACTCCAACCTCGGTAGCAGAGTGAGATCCTGTCTCTATTAATAAATAAATAAATAACCTAGTCCAGAGTATTTTGTTATAGCAGTCTGAAAAGCCAAAGACATTACTTATTGAGTTTTTTGTTTTTTGTGTTTTTTTGCCAATTAGGAATAAAAGTTTTGCTAAATAAAATATGTATGTATGTATTTATTTATTTATTTATTGAGACAGAGTCTTGCTTTGTTGCCCAGGCTAGAGTGAGTGCCCTGGCGTCAGCCTAGCTCACAGCAACCTTAAACTCCTGGGTGCAAGCAATCTGCCTGCCTCAGCCTCCTGAGTAGCTGGGACTACAGGCATGTGCCAGCATGCCTGGCTAATTTTTTCTATATATATATTAGTTGGCCAATTAATTTCTTTTCTATTTATAGTAGAGATGGGGTCTCACTCTTGCTCAGGCTGGTTTCGAACTCCTGACCTCGAGCAATCCGCCCACCTAAGCCTCCCAGAAAGCTAAGATTACAGGCATGAGCTACCGCGCCCGGCCTAAAATACGTTTTTAAAACAGTTTCCAAAATGTTTTGAGGACTCAAATAGATCCTCTACTATTAATATGGGTCAGAGGGTCTGGAGATGTAGAGATGAATAAGATAAGAATGGTTTTTGTCTTTAGAAAGCTTACTCTTCAATGGCGGATATACAGACTATACAGGGATATACAGACTATTATAAAATAATGGTGGAAGCTCCTGATAGACAGTTGTACAGAGAACTACAGAAGCCCCAGGGAGGCACACTCAGTTCAGCCTGATCAATAAATTCGGCCTGGAACAGTAAATAGATTGGCCATTCCTTCATGCTCATTATTTTGGGACTTTACCCATCGTGTACATTTCAAAATACAAATTTGTTTCATTTTCATCCTAAACACATGATAAGAATCTGGTTTTCTGGCAAGTAGGTTAGAAGACACTGACTTGTTTTCATTGATATAATCTCAAGGAAGATTTTCCTGAGTCTTTACACAATGACTATCCTCATGCATCATCATAAAGTTGGGTTGGGAGAAGTAGATCTACTCTCGGGTTGGAAGGCCAACTAAAGAAAACATCAGCTGAGCAGCTTCCCAGAGACCTACTGAAAGCCATCCTGGAAGCTAGAAGGAGTCCCGAATTAATGACTTGAGTGAATGGGGACAGAAAGATAGCTTGTCCTGTTGAGCAGCGGCACTAGATGCCATTGTTCCTTAGATGCTGGTATTTTTCATAGAAAAATCTAATAAATTTGGGATTTGCCTACAAGGAGAAAGGAGAATAAGACGACACAACTAAGACTCTGTCTTACTGAAACCTGCCCCTGGGCCCACCCATTGCTGCCAGCTGGTGCCTTGGTGACCTGTCAAAAAGCCAATTCTGCCTGCGGATCAACACTCCAGGAGGCTACAGGGGTCCTAACAGGTAGGGACAAATGTCAAGGTGATTTGTTTTCCCACTGCCACATTGTTTGCACTTATAATATGACAGTAGAAGGAAACCCACATAGGAATTCCCTAATTTGCTCACAAAGGCAAGCAGTATGCTAGGGAGTCGTTTGACAGGTTCGAGTGGGAGGAGCAGACGAGGGCTGTGAGCGAGGGACTGGACACGGCGGGGACATCCCGCAACCTGCTGCCTCTGTTTCTCCAGATTCCATTTTCATAAAAAATAATTCCCTTAGGGAACAACTCACTGCCCCTTGACACAACTAGTTTAGTGCCTTTAGTAAATCTATTTAACATGATTCACAGTAGGTGCTAGATCTAATTATTAAGAAATTATTGTTATTTTTGTTAGGGATGATAATGTGTAGTTATGTAAAAAAAAATGTCCTTTATGATGTGACCTACATAAGGGAAGTGACTTGATGCTTTGGATTTTATTAAACATATTCTTGGCTGGGCACAGTGGCTCATGCCTGTAATCCCAGCACTTTGGGAGGCTGAGGATCTGGGAGGATTGCTTGAGGCCAGGACTTAGAAACCAGCCGGGGTAACATAACAAGACCTCATCTCTATGGAAAATAGAAAATTTAGCTGGGCGTGGTGGTGGGCACTTGTACTCCCAGCTACTCAGGAGGCTGAGGCAGGAGGATCACTGGAGCCCAGAAGTTTGAGGCTGCAGTGAGCTATGATGATGCCACTGCAGTCTAGCAATGGAGCAAGACCTTGTCTCAAAAAGAAACAAAACTAAAACAAACAAATAAAAACTCTGGCCAAAATGACAACAAATGGAGGAAAATAAGACTCAGGCAATTGTTGGACTGGGTGATGAGCACATGGGAATCATTATATTAAACTCTCTATTTTTGTGCATGTTTTTAAATGTTCATGTTAGAAAAGTAAAAGATAATTTAAAAAAGAAACCTAAAAAGCTACATCACGACAATACTTTTCTAGATGGTTGCCACGCAAAAACGAAGATTTACTGCCTACCACTAAATTTCCTTGATTCGAAGATATCATCAGCGAGACAATCCACCATTAATTTAATAATAGTTTTTCAGAAGAAAATAAACACACATTAAAATATGCACTGATTATAAACTATATCCCAACTTCAGAATTGTTGAAAATGTCTAAAATGTGCCTCAGAACTGAGGTACTCTGATAATTTTTCTTTGTCAATCGTTAATAGGAATTGTTATGAAAAGGCCAAATTTGGAAATACTAGTGTTCAAAACATGGTGTCCACTATTTATTTTACTTATTCATCATTTATTTTATGATTTCTTTTAACCCATTCCATTGGAATTTGTGTTCATTACTTCGTGGCTGAAGGTTTGCTTCCCTAAAAGCATGGTGAACAGGCTTCAGAATGCAAGTAGGCATGGGTTTCTACTGGCTCATACGGCATGAGCCTTGTGTTAATACTGTATGTGATGGAGAGTGATTAAATTGTAAAGATTACACATGCTCAAAACACATATACCTGTGGACCTTGAAACTATTTGGAATTGTTTCTAATCCCCTGAGAATCAGCAACACTGCAGGGTCGTCTTGGGGAGGAGGGTCCCGGGTAGAGACATGAAACCATGTCCACGGGAGCTTGCTATTTTCTAGGTCACGGATCTAGAGCTAAGGACGGTGCAGGCCCTGCCCAGTGGTTTGCTCGTTGCTGTGCAGCGCAGGAGCTTGTGGACGCGGCTGCAATTGCCCAGCTGTTGCGCATGTTCTGGTTTGGAGTGTGAACAGCCAAGGACATGCAAGCGAAGCTGGCAGAGAAGAAAAGCACACATTCTGCAAACGCAAAGTCACCCCAGGCCCCAGTGAAGGGTGTGCGGATGCCCGCGGCGGCTTTACTTACTGTCTTCCGGCAGGTTGTTTTCCCGTTCTTCCCTCTCCATCTGCTGGCACCACCCTTCCATGCGGTCTCGCTCTGCCTGGAGAAGCTTCAGGAACCAGTGGCCGTCCCGATGGCACACCGACCTCTGCACGGCCTCCAGAGGGTCTTCTGTGATAGAGTCAATCCAGGGGTCCGGAGGAGGCAGAATAGAGGGGTCAAAATCGGTGTCAAAGTCATCGTCGGCTGCGCAGGCATGGTAATGGTTTCCTGAGCCCTGAATGCTGACCGTGGAGGTGCTGACGTCCCGGGAGAACTGTCTGGCCATTGGGCCAGGGCACGAATTGTCCTCTATAGATTCCATGGAATTTTCCAGGTTATCATGGAAGTCCAGGTCAGCCTGTACTGCTGTCGTCACACTGTTGGATCGAGTGAACCTGCGGAAGCTTGGGAGAATAGGGAAAGGAGATTTAGTTCAAGGATATTTCTTGCAGTAAAACTGCATTCTACTTTTCTTGGTGGGTATGACCATGGGGGTCTCATCCGCTCAGTTGAGGAAGGCATACTGTTTGCCACAGCTCCAACGTAAAGAACACAAATCTCCCATCTCTGTTCAATATGGGATATTAAAGCATATCTAGAGAAATCTCACGGGTGGGACAAAGCCAGTAGAATGTCTAATTGTCCAATGTACCACTTCTCCCCAAATCTGGGGTGGCTTAAATCCTGAAATCCAGGTTGGTGATGGATAAGGAAACCATTCAATTATTTCTTAGTCTGGGTAATTTGTTCAGAAATGGGGGGAAAATCACAACCTAACCTGGACCAAGGCTATCATGAATCCCGCAAAGCCACATTTTTCCAGGAGCAATTCTTCTTACCAGTAAGACTTCCTGAAAGCAAACTGAAGTTTTAATAGATTCCTCTTAAATTAAAACTCCTTTCCCTGGTAAGCATTTACCTGTCTCTTGCTTCTATAGGTCATCATTATAATTTGGTGCAGTTTAAGGCAAACATCAGCTTACAGTTCTAGAGTTCTCTATTATTGCCCTGTGTGTGCTTTAATTTTCCTTTCCACAATTCTTCTACTGAGGTGATAAAAGACATCTTGTTCACAGATTCAACCTGAGCATTTCACATGAACACCTGTGAGATCAGTGCTCTCTACCAAGGAGTCCTGTGTACCTCAGGCTGAACCCTACAACCAAGGGGAGGGCGTGTGGAGGGTGGGAGGGGAGGGGGAGGACAGAGGAGCGATGAATTCTTTGTTAGACAAGGGGCACAGAAAGTGTGGGTGAGTTAATTTAAAACACATGAAAAGAGCTTCTCTGGCCTCCAGGGAAGGCAGGAAGCAATGACAGAATATAAGTCCACTGCGGGCAGCACCACATGTCCATTACCCAGCTCTGTACTTCTTCTTTTTTTTTAATGTCCCTTCCTGGTCTAATATTTTATTTATTTTTTATTATGTGATAAAATATACATAACATAAAATGTACTAGTTTAACCATTATTAAGTGTACCGTTTAGTGGCATTAAGTACATTCACATCACAATGTGAATGTTGGTGGTGATAGTTGGTGGTGCAACTATCACCACCATCCATTTCCAGAACTTCATCATCTTCCCATCCCCCTGGCAACCAACATTCTACTTTCTGTCGGAGTCTGACTACTCTAGGTACCTCATGTCAGTGGAATAATACAGTATTTTTCCTTTTGTGACTGGCTTATTACCATAATGTCTTTAAAGTTTCATCCATGTTGTAGCATGTGTTAGAATTTTCTTCCTTTATAAGGCTGAATAGTATTCCACTGTATATATTTACCACATTTTATTTATCCAATCCATTTTGTTTATTCATGATCACTTGGGTTGATTCTACCTTTTGGCTATTGTAAATAACGCTGCTATGAATGAGGGTGTGCAAATATCTCTTTGAGATTCTGCTTTCAATTCTTTTGGGTAAATACCCAGAAATAAAATGACTGAATCACATGGTAATTCTTTTTTTTTCAATTTTCTGAGGAACTATGAAAATGCTTTCCAAAGTGGCTGGACCATTTTACATTCCCACCAACTGTGCCCAAGGGTTCCGATTTCTCCACATCCTCATCAACTTTTTTTGTGCTGTTGATAGGATGTGTGTTCTGTGATTTCTGTATTTTTGAATGGGGGTAGGGTGGTACATTTTCTTGAGCAGCTCATGATTACGCCATTTTAAGACAGTTTGTTTGCCAGTTGATTTCCAATGAATGTTCCACGTTCAATAGTGTCAGCCTTAAAGGATAGTACACTAAACAATGTCTGTACTACATTAAGTATACCAGATTAGATGTTTTTTCTTACTATCCTGGTCTACGCTATTAAAGCCAATCAAAACTAATATTCTGGTCCATCAAAAATAAAGAATGGCCAGAACGGTACGGTTAAATAGTTATTTGCAAGACTGCTAAAGGACTAAGAGTCACAAAAAGGAACATAATCAACTCAATAAATCTATTTTTTCCCCCAGAGAATAACTGTCAAGGAAAAACCATGGCTGCAGTACTTATCTGTTTTAGTAATTGGGATGGTCAAGCTGATCAAATATGTTGTGATCCTGGCCATTCATTTTATGAAGATAAACCAGCCCAAGTTGGCCCATTTCACCATTTGCTGTTTTTAAGAAATCACTTCTGCTGAAAGTATCAGACGTAGTCATTTTTGTGAGTTCTTTAACTCTCAAATGGGCCAAAAAGAAAAAAAAAAATCGCATAGTGTGAAAGTCTGACTGCAACATTACAAGTCTCTTGTACCAGCAATAAAAGGAAGAACAATTTTGCTAAAGTGGTGCTTCCAACAAGCACTCATTTCTTGGCTGCAGTCGACTGTTTCTGCATTCTTCCTGTTCATTCCCCGAATGTTAAATGTCATCTCCCGAAGCTGAGCTTTCTCTCCAGCTGCATATGTGTGAATTGGCCGACGCTCCTTGCAACAGTTGACATTTTGGCTGTTCTACTAACATGCAATCCCAACTATGAAAACATTAGCCTCCACTCTCCAAGATCATGTATTGCCAGAGGCATTCCATTTCCAAACTTAAAGAAGTACTAGTCCCTTATTGTTTTCAATCAGAGAAAACTTGCCAGAGACGGAATCTGTTCCACATATAAAGCAGAATGACCTACTTTCCCCGTGCTTCTGTTTTTATCTACACAAAACTGTACTACCAGCATTCCTGACAGCCGTCTCCTGGCTATGGCTCTTGTAAAGTATCTGCCTTCTTAAGAAAAATTACTTGGCAGTAGATTAATAGAAGTTTGCAGTTTAGTCACCCAGAAAGAAATAAAAGTTAAGTAAAATTAAAATGGTTTGGGATTAAAAGCGGTGCCTTTGAACTCAGGCAACCCTGTCCAAGCTGCTGGTTTCTATCAATTAAGTTCTTTAAGCAAGTGCTTTCTTCTACTCAGAGCTTTCAAAGAATGTTCTGCTCTACAAAACATTTTATGTCTTTCATGTGCAAAGTTCCTTCTGGGTGAAGGGTGCAGTCAAGTTGTTATTGTTGTTTTAAAATTTTGATAGGAACACAGAAGGAGGTCACTCGATTAATTTCTGTATTTTTTAAAGAAAGAATTGATGAGTTGCAGGTTGATGGTATAAATGTAAAAGCTGAACCCAATGGCTTGCTGTTTCCGAACCCACAATTTCCAACCTGGAAGCTTCTTTGGTCCTTCGTGCCCCACAGGCACAGTGTGTAATAATTACAACTTCTGAAAAATGCCGGCCAGGATTCTGGCCTAAGGAGCAGAAAACCGTGAAACCAAAAGACTGGATCAACCAGTATGGAACACAATACCCTACCTGTTCTGAACAGCCAGAGAAAAGTCACTTGTTAGCACTCACCTCTGCTGTTGCTTTGTGTTCCTTCTATGAAACAAGTTTGTATTTCTTTTTCTTTCTTTTTTTTTTTTTTTGAGACAGAGCCTTGCTCTGTTGCCTAAGCTTGAGTGCCATGGCTTTAGCTTAGCTCACAGCAACCTCGAACTTCTGGGCTCAAGGGATCCTCCTGCCTCAGCCTCCCAAGTAGCTGGAACCACAGGCGATCACTACTATATCTGTCTAATTTTTTCTATTTTTGGTAGAGACAAGTTCTCCCTCTGGCTTAGGCTGGTCTTGAACCCCTAACCTCAAGCAATCCTCCCACCTGGGCCTCCCAAAGTGCCTCCCACAGGCATGAGCCACTGCGCCCGGCCTGTATTTCTAATTAGAGGATTTTCTACCCCACCCCACCCCCACAACTTTTCTGTACAGCAGGTTACAAAGCAACACATAGGTGGGTAAATTGCAGGGTCCATTCCCCACCGCTGTCTGATGGAGTTACAGTTAAACAAAGTAAGTCATGAATGAAAACCAAGCACAGTGAGTGTATTTATAACGTACATGCTTAGGACCTGCAAGGCATCCAACTAGTGAGACTCAAGTTGTAAACTTATTTTAAGGAGACTAACTCAGTCATTCCATCATAGAATCCTCCAGCCTCTGGTTAGCTTCTTCATGCCTCTCATTCACATAACGGTTGCTTCTCAGAGCTGAACCTAGTTTCGAAGGGGGAAGTGCTAGTCCTGTGCTGATTTCTCTTTCTTCGTAGGCGCCTTTAGCCATTTTTAACTAAGCCTTCTGTCAAGGCTGAGTGTATGTGGGACCTGAAAATGCTACTCCTCGAAAGTGCAGCCGTCGTGGTATTTTGTGAAATGGCACACTTTAACTGACGTCAAACCCAAGATGTCTCATTATATAAAATAAAAGATAGATCAAAAGAAAGCATGGGGCTGAGGAGACTGAGAGCAAGAATTAAAACTTCCCAAAACAGAGGTTTACTTTTTATCATCACGTCAGCTTCCAACTTAGACTAGTGCGTGGAGGAACGTAGGTACAAGGCAACCCTTGTTCAAACATTCAGTTGGGTAAAACTCTCCTGCTCTCCATTTGTATGTGGCTAACACTGTCCTATCGCCGGATTTTAAAACTATCTCAAAACAATCATCTGTTGGTTATTTAAAACCCTCCATGTTCGTCATTCTTTTCCTTGAAGATCTCTTTAAGCAAAGGAAAATCAAAGAGGCTTTCTATATAACGATTCTCTCCAGCCTAAATACTTGTGATGTATTTGTCAAATAAAAGAAAGTGAAAAATGGAAAATAACGACAGTGGACTTGTTATCGTCTGGTAACTTCTGAGAGGGTCAGGCATGCTGCCATACTCCTTTCAGCACCAGGTGGACAGGTGCTAATATCTTTGATGGCTGTCACTACAGGAACCTTGGTTACAAGTCTCAACAAAATCCTTGAATTGAATGTGCCCCAGAAGGAACTGCTTTCCTTAAGCAACTGGAGTGGTAGGTCACTCCCTGGCTACTGACCAGAGCTAACTAACATAAGCATGAGAGGTCTCACTAACGATTATT